ATGAGAATGGTATTCAGATTCTGAATGACCAAAAAAAAAAAAAAAAAAGCAAAACTTACCAAAACAAGAGGTGGGATAGAAATCTAAATAGTCCTGTATCAAAATATTGAGTTTGTTATCAAAAACTTTCCCACAAAGAAATGTCCAGGCTCAGATGGTTTCACTGGTGAAATCTGTCAAACTGTGCCCAGTTTGCACAGTTTCTTTCAGAAAATACAAGAAAAAGGAACATTTCCCTCATGTTATGAGACCAACATATCCCTGATAACTAAAACTTGGCAAAAACCTAACAGGAGAAGTAAATTATAGACCAACTTTCCTCATGAACAGAGGTATGAAAATACTTAACCAGATAGAACAAAACACATCAAGCACCATATAAAATAATACATCACAACCAAGTGAGATTTATCCAAGGAATACAAAATTCATTTCATGGTTGAAAATCAGTCAGTGCAGTCCATCATATTAACAGAATAAAGGAGAAACCAACATGATCATATCAGAACATGCAGACAGAGCATCTAACAAAATAAACATTTTTGTGTAAAACTCAGAGTAGGAATAGGAGAGAACTTATTCAAACTGCTAAAGGGCATTTACAAAAAAATTTTTTACTGTCATGCTACAACACAGAATACTGAATGCTTTCCCCTTAATCAGGAGCAAGGCAAAGGATGTCTTTTCTTACCTCTGCTGTTTAACAGTTTACTGGAGATTCTAAAGATAACAGCAGTACAGGAAAAGAAAATAGAGAGATAAAAATATTAGAAAGGAAGAAATATATTTGACTTTATTCACAGATAATATGACTAAGGAACCAACAACAAAATCAAAGCATAGAAGATCAGTATGGAAAAATCGATTGTATTTCCATATAATTAGTAGCAAACATTTGGAAAATGAAATTAAGATCAGTTCTTTTTGCATGGTATAAAATAAGTAGAAATAAATTTAACAAAAAACATACACCAAAAACTTCAGACATCGCTGGTAGAAATTCAAGGAGGCCTCAGTAAATGGAGGAATATACCATGTTAATGGATTAGAAGATTTAGTTCTTCCCAAATTGGTCTAGAGATTAAACTTTGCCAAGCAAAATCCCAGCAGTCTTTTTTTATAGAAATTGACAAGCCGATTTTAAACTGTTTGTTAGTTTATTTTTGGCTGCATTGGGTAGTTGAGGCGAGGGGGGGCTACTCTTCGTTGCAGTGCGCGGGCTTCTTGCAGTGGCTTCTGTTTTGCAGGGCACGGGCTCTAGGCGTGCAGGCTTCAGTAGTTGTGGCATATGGGCTTAGCTGCTCCACAACATGTGGGATCTTCCCAGACCAGGGCTCGAACTCGTGTCTCCTGCATTGGCAGGCAGATTCTTAACCACTGCACCACCAGGGAAGTCCCTAAAGTGTATATTTAAAAGCAGAGGACCTGGGACTTGCCTGGTGGTGCAATGTTAAGAATCCGCCTGCCAATACAGGGGACAAGGGTTCGAGCCCAGGTCCGGAAAGATCCCACATGCTACGGAGCAACTAAGCCCGTGCGGCGCAACTACTGAGCCTGCGCTCTAGAGCCCACAAGCCACAACTACTGAGCCCGCGTGCCACAACTGCTGCAGCCCACGTGCCTAGAGCATGTGCTCCGCAACAAAGAGAAGCCCCTGCAAGGAGAAGCCTGCGCACTGCAACTAAGAGTAGCCCCGCTCGCCACAACTAGAGAAAGCCTGCGTGCAGCAAGGAAGACCCAACGCAGCCAAATAAATAAATTTTTTTTTTTAAAAAGAAAGAAAAAAGCAGAGGACCTGGGAATTCCCTGGCGGTCCAGTGGTTAGGACTCTGCACTTCCACTGCAGAGAGCCTAAGACCCCTGGTTGGGGAACTGAGATCCAGCAAGCCACGAGGCATGGCTCAAATAAATAAATAAATAAAAGCAAAGGACCTAAAATACTCAAATCAATCTTGAGAAACAAGAACAAATCTGGTTAACTCTCACACTACCTGACTTTAAGACACTACAAAGCTGTAGTAACAGTGACACTGTGATATTGCCCACAGGATGGACAAGTAGATAGTGGAGGATAGTAAAGAGTCCACGCTTACATGGTCACTTAATTTTCAATAAGGCACCAAATCAGTCAATGGGAAAAGTCTTTTCAATAAATGACACTAGAACAAACGGATAGGATATATATATGAAAAAGATTAGTCATAACCTCTGCCTCACACCACATACAAAAATGTATTTGAAAAAAAATGTATTTGAGATGTATTATATATCTAAACATAAAAACTAAAACACCTAAGCTTCTGGGAAAAAATATAAGAGAATATCTTCAGAGTCTAGGGTAGGCAGAGTTGCTTAGGGCACTAAAAGCAGTAACCATAAAAGAAAAAACTGATAAAGTAGTCATCATCAAAATTAATAACTTCTGTATATTAAGAAAATGAATAGGCAAATTGTAGGATAAGAGAAAATATTTTCCAAACATATCTAACAAAAGACTTGTATCCAGAATATATAACAAATGCTTACAACTTAATAGTTTTAAAATTTTTCTTTAAGTAAGCAAAAGACTACAGCAGAGACTTCACGAGAGAAAATGTACAAATGGGAGATAGCACTTGGAAAAGTGCTCCACGTGAGCTCTCAGGGAATCACAAGTTAAAACCACAGTGAAGCAGTAACAGTGCTTCCAACAGAATGGCTGAAGCTAAGAAGACTGATCTCACCAGATGGTGAGGATGCAGAGGAGCGAGAATTCACTGTGGAAGAGGGTTAGGCGCTTTCTTGTAAAGTTGCACAGACCTAACTGTTCCCCTCCTGGGTATTTATTCAAGAGAAATATTAAAACATGTCAAAAGCAAAGAGTTGCACAGGGAAGTTGATGGCAGAGCTGTGCTGTACAACATAGTGGGTGTAGTTAGCAATATGGTGCCCTGCACTTGAAACTCCGTTAAGAGGCTGTCTCATGCTAAGTGTTCTTACCACCAAAAAAAACCCAGACAAACAAAAACAGAGGTGATTGATATGTTTATTACCTCGATTGTTGTGATGTATCATGGGTGTGTGCCTAGGTACAAATTCATCAAAACGTATACATTATTGTGTGCAATGTTCTGTATATTAAGTATACCTCAGTAAAGCTGGGAAAACAGAAAGTTTATGGCAGCTTGATTCACAGTAGTCAAAAACTGGAGACAGCAATGCAAACATCTATCAGTGAGTGAATGGATAAATATTGGTGTATTTATACAAATGGGATACAACTCAGCAATAAATGAGAGCAAACTACTGATATGCAAACAACATGGATAAATCGAAAAATCATTATACTGAGTGAAAAGAGACGCAAAGCAACACGTACTACTTGATACCATTTATTTGAATTTGTAAACTAAGTGAGACTAATTTGATTCTGCCTCTGTGGGGATGCAGCTAGAATGCATTGCCTGGGAATAGACACAGAAGCTTTCTGAGGAATGGAAATGTTCTGCTCTGTGACAGAGGATTGGTTACTCAGGTTAAAACTGTATGGCTGGGCTTCCCTGGTGGCGCAGTGGTTGAGAGTCCACCTGCGGGTGCAGGGGACACGGGTTCGTGCCCCGGTCTAGGAAGGTCCCACATGCCGCGGAGCGGCTGGGCCCGTGAGCCATGGCCGCTGGGCCTGCGCGTCCGGAGCCTGTGCTCCGCAACGGGAGAGGCCACAGCAGTGAGAGGTCCGCGTACCGCAAAAAAAAAAAAACTGTATGGCTAAGATGTGTACGTTTCAGTGTATAAAAATTTTTCCAGAAGAGATATAAATAATAATAATTGAGAAGGGAACCGGGAGTAGGTAGTTGAAGTATAGCTGGACCGAGAATGGCAGGATACTGTGAACTGTGGGAGCTGAATAGTGTATATATGGTGGGTTATTATAGGAGTCTCTTTGCTGTGTCTGAAATTTCCATATTAAAAATTTTAAGAGGAGGTGTGGAAAGCAAAGCAAGAAATGTTTGGGTATTGAACTTGGCAGTATGTTGATGGTCAATTTAAAAATAAAGGATAAAACAAATGAAAGCTTTTCAACTTTATTCCCTAAAATAAGTGGGGGTGGGAGAATGTTGAAAAGTTTGAGGGCTTGAGAGAACTAGAGATAAACCATATGCCTAAAACAAATAAAACAGAAGCAACTACTTTATTAATTTGGAATTTAGTGGCAGCAGTTTTCAAACTATTAAGAAAGAAGTAGCCTAGAAAAAATGGGTGAAGGTTTGTCTCCTAATTGATTTGAATCCATAGTTTGAGATTTTGTCTACATTTAATTTTTTTTTAAACTTTTTTTAAATTTGCTTTCCATGTGAGGATTGGTACAAATGACTCTGAAAGGTAGGTAGGTTTTTTAATATACTCAGTCTGAAGGTACTGTTTTTTTGTTCTTTGGGGTTTTTTTTGAAGGTACTATTGACAGTTTATAATTAGTAGAAATGTAGGCCTTTAAATTATTTTAATGCTTTGTTAATGCATAAGGAGAAAAGGGAAGAGCATTTATATGATACGAATGGCTTTTTAAGAGCTAGGTACTTGAGATGTGGCTGTAAAGCACCAGAGATAGAAAAAGAAGAGAAGAGATAGAGAAAAAAAAGAAGGGAATAAAAATTCTCTTGAAGAATGAGGGTACTCATGAAGTTTTTACACAGTGATGCCTTTAGAATATATATATGTGTGTGTGTGTATATATATTTTATATAGATAGATAGATAGATACACACATAAAGCAAGCCAGCTTTCTTAGGAGAACAAATGATCCAAATCATAATAATGTTAATACTTGCATATCTGTTTTCTCCTTTGATTCTTATATGATCTAAGGGGTAAAAACTAATATTAGGAGTTACAATGCAAAAATAATTTAATATTTAACAAATAACTAATAAACATTTTATAATAAAAACTTAGCATCTGTTTTTTAGGTTGTTTTTTAAAATCCAGTAGACATGCATCTAAATTCATGTTTGCATTCTTTCTAGCTGCAGAAGATCATAAGTAAACAGGATGACTTGAAGACAAGAATAACTAATGAAACAGAATGCCAGGTATGTGCAAATAAACTAAGTATTTCCAAGCAGATGTTATTTACAATAGCTTCTCTATTCTGTTTGCTCAAATAAGTATTCCCAAACAGTTGGGGAAATTAACAGTAACTTAATTTTTCTAAATATTTCAAATAGGTTTTCTACATTCACATGATCCAGACCTCAAAAGACCCACTAGAGGATGTATGCAGGGCAGAACTTACCTCCCCATGACCCAGCTCCTGGGTATTCTTCCAGAGATATTTCATGTGTATATAAGCATGTATGTAAATAAGCAACCAAACATTTCCATGTGTTCTTTTTACCATTTTTATACAAGCAGTAGCATACTATATACACTGTTCCATATCCTCCCATTTTTTCTTACCATATCCGAATATCTCATTCTTTTTAATGGCTCCGTAGTACTTTGCTGTATGGATGGATGTACCAGTTGATGTAACCATTCCCCATTTGAAAGATATTTAACATGTATCCAGTCTTTTGATATTGCAAATAATGCACTTAATAATCCTGTAATCATATCACTTTATATATATGTGAATATATCCAAGGGGTAACTTCCCAGAAATTCACTTGCTGGGTCAAAAGGTATGAACATTTCTAAGGTTGTTGATAAACTTTGATGAATATTGGCACATATCTTCTGTACAAAATGAACCAACTTTCATTCCCACCAGCAGTGTATATCCTTAAATTTTCCATTGATAATCTTTTAATCAGTTGTAATTCCACAATTTGCTTTCTGTGAGCTTTTCTTAAATTTCCAAATCATTTCATCTTTTAGAGCATGTGTGCTTCAAATTTTGCAAATTATTAAAATCACAATTTTTTTATATTTCATTCCCTTTGAGCAGCCCTATGCTGGACTTGTTTCACATGTATCCGGGTCCTCTAATGGTGCCCCGCCTCCCAGGTGTGCACCTCCTCCGTGTCCTCAGCTCCCTGCGTGTCCTGCCACACCACCTGCCCCTCCTTAGGGTAATTGTTTAATCGTCTGTGTCTTCTGGAGCGTGCGCATCCTCATTCTTTCTGAGGTCGTGTGAGGTTAGGGAGCAGGCCACGCGACCACCCTTACCTCTGATGCCAGCTGGAGGCTCAGGGGGCCCCCAGTATCACCTTGGGTCTGATAATTCATTGGAAGGACTCATAGTACTCCCCAAAAGTTGTTAGGTCCGTGGCTACAGTTTATTACAGTGAGAGGGTGCAGGTTAAAATCAGCCAAGGGTAGAGACTCGTAGGCAGAATCCAGAGGTTCTGGTCGTCCTCTCCCAGGGGAGTGTGGAAAGCACTGACTTTCCCAGCAGTGACTGTGACAGCACACACGGAGTAGTGCCAGCCAGGGCTTTGGTGTCCAGAGACTGTTGAGGTCAGCCATGGAAACGTGGTTGGCTGTCCTCGTGGCTGACCTCAGACTCTAGCCCTTCTGGAGGTCAAGCTGATACCCTATGGCCCAAAGCCTCCACCCCAAATCTCATTGTTGGACTACCAGTTGTGGCCCAAGGCCCCCGGGTAAACAAAGGCACCTTCTCTTAGGGACCACCTCTTAGCAGCCCAGGGCAAAGGCCAGACATCTGGGTAAGGTTAATTCCTTACTATACAAGTTGTATCTACATAGCCTGGTAGAGCACCAGGCATAACCTATATACTCCGTAAATATTTTTTAATGAATGAACAAATACCTAATCTTACGGATAAAACACTTTTTTTAACTTATTTTTTAATAGATTTATTTTATTTATTTATTTTTGGCTGCGCTGGGTCTTCGTTGCTGCGCAGGCTTTCTCTAGTTGCGGCGAGCAGGGGCTACTCTTCATTGCCGTGCGCGGGCTTCTCATTGCGGTGGCTTCTCTTGTTGCAGAGCACAGCCTCTAGGCGTGCGGGCTTCAGTAATTGTGGCATGTGGGCTCAGTAGTTGTGGCTCACGGGCTCTAGAGGGCAGGCTCAGCAGTTGTGGGCACAGGCTTACTTGCTCCGCAGCATGTGGGATCTTGCTGGACCAGGGCTCGAACCCGTGTCCCCTGCATTGGCAGGTGGATTCTTAACCACTGAGCCACCAGGGAAGCCCCAGATATAGCACTTTTAACTATTGACCTGTTCTTGGTCATTAAGACTGTTTCCAAATCTTTGCTGTACGATGCAGTAAATAGCTACATGTGTAAATTTAAGACAGAGATCTAAGAGTCAGGTTGTCAGGTGAAGGCATGACTACTTGTAAGGCTTTGACCCATATTGTCAGGCTGCCTTCCACAAAGGTTGTAACAGTTTACGGGCCTGCCGGCAGTCTCTCCAGGGTTGGTATCTTTTTTGTTTTGTTTCTTAATCTGTGTCAGTATGACCCGGGAAAATGTATCGCAGATTGTTTTTTTAAGATAGTTACGTACAGGGCTTCCCCGGTGGCGCAGGGGTTGAGAGTCCGCCTGCCGATGCAGGGGACGCGGGTTCGTGCCCCGGTCCGGGAAGATCCCACGTGCCGCGGAGCGGCTGGGCCCGTGAGCCATGGCCGCTGAGCCTGCGCGTCCGGAGCCTGTGCTCCGCAACGGGAGAGGCCACAACAGTGAGAGGCCCACGTATCGCAAAAAAAAAAAAAAAAAAAAAGATAGTTACGTACACCATTCATGTTTCTTATTTTATAAATTTTCTGTTTCTTTTTTTTTAACATCTTTATTGGAGTATAATTGCTTTACAGTGGTGTGTTAGTTTCTGCTTTATAACAAAGTGAATCAGCTATACGTATACATATATCCCCATATCCCCTCCCTCTTGTGTCTCCCTCACACCCAAATTTTCTGTTTCTGTTCTTTGGGAATTTCTTTAGGGTTTTTCTTCATATACTTGAGAATATTAACCTAGTGTCTGTCAAAATTATTGAAATATTTTTCAGATTTGTTTTTGTTTAAGATGTTTTGGTTATAGATGTTTTTATTTTTAATGTAGTCATGTTTAGCTGTCTTTTTATTTATTCAGTTACTTTCATTCTTTAAAATGCCTTCCCTACATCAAAATTAGTTGTTAAATTCTAACCTCTATTATCCTCTGATTTAGTTGTGGTTTTATTTTCTTACATATAATTGTTTCATTCATCTGAAATTTGTTTCTTAAGGGCATCCCTAGGGATATTTCATTACTTAACTTTTTTACTATTATAAATAGAATCTTTACCCTCAAAGGAAAAATTATTGCTGTTAAGCAGGAAATTCATTTAATTTTTAATGTTTCTGTACCAGTCTGTCTTAACTGAATTTTCCTCTTTTTTCTGTTGATTTTCCTGGTTGTTCTAAGTATAAAATTATTTCTAAATAATATTAATCTTCGTTTATTCCTTTATGTATTGGACAAAACTACCCCAAAAAATGTTTAGTAATAGTGTTCTTGGTAGACATCCTGATCATGTTCTAACCTTAACGAGAACACATACGGTTTTGTGTTTTAGTATATCTCCTGAGCATTTATATGGGAATTAAGAAAAAACTCCAGGCATGACTTCCTGCCCACACTTGTGTGGAAGTCCAGTTAAAATCCACATTTGTATTTATAGTGGCTATTTTATAAAATTATTAGACACAAAGTCAAGTGTTTAAGAGTCAGTACTGTGGAGGGCTCTGTGTCAATCAGCCCCGCTGGAACCACCGCTTCCTCCCCATGAGCCGACCCCTTGGCAGGGGCGGTGAGGTGCGGGCGAGCCCCCTGCGGCCCCAGGGCCGTGGCCGGCTGGTCGCTGGATGTGTGGGTGACTTGCCTGCGCTCAGTCTCTGCAGTCTGTCCCCTCCAGAACCTGAGGCTGCACTTGTCTCTGCCTGGCCTCCCGGGAGCTGTCCCCATGTCCACACAGCCGGTGTCGAGCAGAGACTGAGCAGGGTGTCCGCTTGCAGATGCAGCCCTGCTCACGGGCTGGGAGGCTGGGCCCCCGTCCCACCTCAGGCTCTTTTCAAGTCTGTCGCTGCCTTCCCCGGGCCAGCTCTGGTTCTGAGCTGCAGGTGGTCACGTTTTGATGCCCTGCCCTGCAGCCCTTGCTGGAGTACTAAACTGTGCTCACTTTCCTGTGCTGCCGTAAAGGACCTAGACCCACTCCGCCCTCCAAGGCGCATTCCCCTCTCTGGGCTCCCAATCATCCTTCAGTTGAACAGTGCCCAGAAGGTTCTAAGTCCAGAAGCCGGCCCGCCCTCTGCCTGAGCCCACACGCTGTCTTGGAGCCTCGCTGGTCCCAGCCACCTTCTCTCCGACTACACCCAGGCTTTCATGAGTTCTCACCATGTGACAGTCACCCCACCTGCTGCTGTATCTGGGAAGTGGGGGCAGGATTGGGGAGCAGGCTGGACCATCCAGTGCCTGAATTTCTTTCTCCAGGTGCTCTTTTTCAGATTATTTGGTTTAAGTTTGTACCCCCATTTGTTGTTTAGTTGCTGCTGATAATCTTTTTAGCAGCTCTGTTTTGTTATTATTTTTGTTTATTTTATTGGAGATTTGAAGGAGGAAGAGTCTGTGAATCTGCTTCTCTCGTAGCCTTGAATGGAATCCTCAGCCGGTAACTTTATAACTAGGAAAAGCTAGTGCTCCATTTCTAGCGTTCAGCAAAAGGTCCAAGACTTCCCTGCTTTAATTCTCTCAGTCCTGCTTTACTAGAAAATGCCTAAGGGTCACATTTGAAAATAACTCATCTCACTATTCTAAGCTCTCTTTTTGGCCTGATCCAAAATGTCGTTCACTGCTGAAGCCCACCTTGGGTCCTTTGAGTGCTTTAGCCCTGTTGTTTTCCTCCTGCTTGAGCCATGATATAGAATAGTGTTATGCAGAGTAACAGACAGAATGGCTACATCTGTTCTCGCCCTCTTGTTGTTGTTACTAGAATCTTTTGTGGGTATTGTCCTAAGAATTCCAGGCTACAGGATCCATTTTTTGTTCTTGGTTATATAATTACTTGAAATTATTGTATCATTTTTTTTTACAGGAACCAACAGTGAAAGAACCTGAAATTAACACCACCCTTCAGATACGTTTCTTTGGAAAAAGAGGAGAAAGAAAACTTCACTATAAAGAATTTCGAAGGTAAATGCAAATATTTATATTCATTTAGGGAAATTTTATAGGTAAGAGGTAAAGAAACAACTGAATACATTTATTTATGTCCCAGAACTGCAGGCCATAAAACCAGATACAGTATCTCTGAGAGCAAAACCTGTGAAATGTAAACTAAAGTTACTATGCTCAAAAATACCTCTAACCTATTATGAAAAGTAGTATTCATTTTACAGACTACAATAATTAGTAACTTACTGTTTGCAGCTAGAAGAGAGAGATGCCCCTCGTATCAGTTAGTTCTTAATTCACAACAAACCAGCCCAACTTAAAACAGTGACCATTCGTTACTGCCACGAGTCTTTGGGTCAGCTGGGTGCTTCTCCAGTGGGGGCCAGAATCGGGCCTTCTAGACTGAACAGGCCCCTGCTGTTGCCGTCTGCTGATGGTTGGCAGGAGCTGGGGCCGGCTCTGCTGAGACGGCACAGCCAAGCTCTGCTCCCGCCGTCCCCGCCCCCAGCCCAGGGGTCGGCAGCCCTTCTTCATAAAGGGCCAGTCAGTGAGTATGGTCTCTGTCCTGGCTGCGCAGCTCAGCCGTCACAGCGTGAAAGCAGCTGTGAACAGCACAGGCGTGTTGATGCGTCGGTACGTGGTGGGCGTGTCTGTGGTCCAGTCCAGCTTGCGGACCTTGCTGCATTCACGTCTTCATCTGCAGGGAGGGAACCGCACTTACATTCTGTGGCATTGTAAGCATCGCAGTGTCGTGTCCTGTTTACCTCCTCCCCTCCAAGAACAACTCCATGCAGAACCAGCCCCTGTGTTCACGGGCCTCCCCACTAACCAGAGTCTTAGAACAAATACCAGAAAGCAGCTCAGAATGGTGGAAAAGCACCGATTTGGGAGGAAGGAGACGCCTCTTGTCAACTCAGCGCAGCTAACTAAAGACTGACTGAGTGTGTTCCATGTGCTGCTATGTGCCAGGCTGTGCCTCAGATGCAGGGCTGGTCCCTCCTGGGAACTGTCTAGTAAATGTGCAGAGAAATTTAAATGCATTCGGTCAGTGCTATCACAGGTGGATAGGGTTTTGGGCAGCACAGAAGATCACTTCTGGAGTAGGTGATCAGGAAGCTTTCTGGAGGAAATAGCCCTACGCCGATCTTGACAGATGAGCAGAAATTAGCCAGGGAGAAATGGTCTGGGAGGGAGGGACGGAGAACAGCACGAGGAAGGACACGCGGGAGAACATATGGCTTGTCCAGGAATCAGAGAGGGCAGGCATGGTAGAGAAATAAACAAGCATGAGGGGTGGGCAGAGGTGAGGGTGGAGGCCCAGGAGGCGTATGCTTCCTGTGTGAGGGTTCACGCACCAGAAGGCCCAGCTTGAGTTACGCCATGAGGGAGGCCCCGCAGGCATCCCGTGCTTGGTGCCTGGTCAGACAGGCGTCACTCTGGCAGGATGCTGGGCAACGACAAGGGGGATCCGATGCGACACGAGCCCGCTGGGCTACTGCAGATGAGGAATGACAGGAGCCCTGAACCAGTGGGGTGGCGATAAAGACTTTGGACTGGGAGTTTTCAAGACACATTTAGGAGATAAAATTGTAGGGCTTAGTGATTGTTTAAAGTTGCTTCTAACTTTAATTTTCCTTAAAGGGAATGATTTCATTTAGAATTCTTACTTTAAACTTTTTCTTAAAGTTTCTGTAATTAATGGGCCCTGTGAAATTTGTAATACCATTATGCAATTTAAAAAAAGATCCAATTAACAAAGAATGCTTTAAATGCAGTTTTTCAGGGACTTGGCTCTTGAATGGAGGAGGCCGCCCCTAAAGTTAACGTTACAGGTGCACTGGGCTAGAATTCGGTAATCATAACATGTCTTTAACATTTTGCGTAAGTCGTAAAGTAACAGAAAATAGCTTCCATATATTATATTATATTGTATTATATATTATATTATATTATATTATGTTATATTATGTATATGTAATATAATATAAAATTGTATATATAATTTTTAACTGGTCACCATTGTAGTGGCCAAATTACTCATTAAAATTGCACAAGAAGTTCTTTCAGTATTTGTTATATGGAGCTTATAGTTTTGTTTTTATGGGAGTATAACGTATAATCCTTCCTTACAAAAAGATGTTTGCTTTTCTCTTCTGACCTTTGTCTTAGCATCCTCTTTACAGCTTGTCTGATAAAGGATATTGTTTTATAAATTACAGCTTATAAGTCTCAAGGAAAGGCAGGGAAGGTGACACAGAGTTAGTGTTGTGGTAGCTAATTGTGGTATTTACCTAGAGATACTAGTTTTCTCATTTAGAGAAACAATATTATATTTTGAAAAAAAAACACATATTTTTGATTTAGACAAACCTGGGTTTCAGTGCGGAACTTGACAGTTTGCTAAGTGTGATTTGATTTGACAAGCGATTGGACCTGAGTGTCGGGTCTGTTCCTTCACCAGTGAGATGGTGATGATGAGACCCACTCAGTGAGGCTGTTCACAAGCTTAGATGTGATGCAGGTATAACTATTATAATAGATCATGTAACTAGAAATTGGAGAGGTGAAATTCAGACACAGGTTTAAGTTTCGAGCAGTCACAGAGTTTCTGAAAGAGGTGGTCCTGCAGTTGCTTGCTAGGTGGTTGGGGGCACTGGGTGGGCTTTCAAGGAAGTCGTCCCCCCAGGTGACCAGAGGGACAGACAGACTTAGGAGATGCCATCAGGTGTCAAGAGAAACGTACCAGTGACTGAGGGAACATGTGGATAAATTGGTGGCTTGTTTGGGGTTTTTTTTTTTTACTTCCACAACTAGTCAGATTCTCCAGCTGAAATACCACTTAGCCATTTCAGTAAAAGCTAAAGTATAATTTAAGTTCTATCTCCTGGAATTTTGGTGTCTATTCATTGTTATGAAATCAACAGGTAATTTAACTGTGAGAATTCAGTTCTTTATCAGCATATATATAGTTCAGGGGAAAAAATACTGAAGCTCAGACTCCGCAGGCAGCTGGCGATGGTGTTTACCCGCTCTGTGCCAGTGCCTGTTTGTCTTGTTTGTTTTTCCCGTCTCTTCCTCCCTGTCGTCTTACTTTACTGGGGACTTGTCTTCTGCATTTCTTTTTCTCTTCCTCTAAACTCAGCGGTTAGCCCTAAAACTAGTGACCAGAAATAACCCCTGTGTTTATTTCCTGTGTGGTATGTTTGACCTCATTTTTTATTCCAATAAATAGTTAAAACTTAAAATAACTTTGTGACTGAAGATAGGGAAGTGGTTGGAAAGGGAAGAAAATTGGTCTCAAGTTTTCTCATCAGGAAAAATTAGGAGGATATTGATGCAGGTGCAGATGTACTTTTTAGGACTGGGATTTTTTTAAATTCTGAGATACCAATTATTAGTTGAGGATGTTCTAAATTCATGAAGAGCTTTTATAAATTCAGAGATGTCCGTAAGCAGTGCTGTGCTGGTAAATATATTCCGCGATCGGCTCTCGGGAAGAATGGCCTTGATTGGTAAACTTGCAAATTAGTAGTAAATACTCTACAAGACACTGTGGCCTAAAAAACCCAGATAAGCAAAACAGATTTCTCCCGTTGTTTCCAATTATGACACTGTCTTCCAATTAAGACACTAATTTATAAACTATTTAATTTGTTCAGCATGCATTTGGTGGCCTTTTGTACTGTAAATTCTTCAATTCAGATATTTATGTCCAGTATCATGTCCCAGACTTTCATGTCTTGACAAGACGTATAATTTGAGACAAGATTTTATCATTAAGCGCATTTAATGTTCTTCAGAAGTAATATAATTAGTTAAGATGAAAGAGCTTAAACCAGACAACGGATAGTTTAACAGCAATTACGTTTATAATATTTCAGCCTCAGGCAGAGCCCAAAGAAAAAGAAAAAGGAAAGGAACAGTTAGTAATGTGTTTATACCATATTTTGTACTTCCCTGATCACTGTACACACCCATTTGCAAGTAAAACACCCTTTTAACAACCCTTATAAGAATCAGTTGATGCCATCACAGCACCCAGTACAGTAAAACTCAGTAAAACGGAGGACAAAGCGTATCACTAAGAGAGTTAGTTGATCAGCCCAAACTTGAAATGCCTCAAATTTTAGATAAAATTCTGCTTTGACCCAAAGACACAGGGCATTGGTAAATAAATTCATGTATCCAGTACATTCAGAAAATGTTGTAGGAAACCGACTCTTTCCTGTCACATAGGTAGAAGCCTGAAATCAAACTCCCCCTTCATACGTTTAAGGTCTGTGGAATAAATGCAGAGGCTCTAAAGCAAAAGTCAATTTTTAACAGTGACGGTTCTTCTCCCGTTGAACGAGAACATGCCTCTTTTGCTCCCCATGTATATTTCTGTTAAATCGTGACATGACATGTAGTACAGATCTTTTAACACGTGGAAGGTACGTAAGGGGATCTGCAACGTATTGAAACTCATAGAGATGCTGCTTAAGGTGCCTGCAATCCATTTATAGCACTAAGGCAAAGCCATGAGTTACTGACATCCATCTCATATTTTAACATTTAGATTTATGGAAAACTTACAGACGGAGGTCCAAGAAATGGAGTTCCTTCAGTTCTCTAAAGGTTTGAGTTTCATGAGAAAAGAAGACTTTGCAGAATGGCTCCTTTTTTTCACCAACACTGAAAACAAAGACGTTTATTGGAAAAATGTGAGAGAGAAGCTGTCCGCAGGAGAGGTTGGTGTGCCTTTTTATTATGCTCATGTTGAAAATGAAACAGTAAGTTAGACATGTTTATATAATTCAATAAAGTAACTTCCAAATTAATGAAGACTAACCTACTGTCTATTATATAATTGTGTGATGCATGAAATGATGATTGCCAAACTGTTAATAATGATTAATGGACAGTGGTAAGACTTTGAGTGAGTTTTTACTTTATTGTTCCAAAAAAATTTTTTTTCAAATGGGCATGTGGTTTTGGGGGTTTTTTTTTTGTTTTTTAATTTCCCTCATTATGTGCCCCACTACCCCAAATTAAAACCCAGACCTCAGGACTTCCCTGGTGGCGCAATGGTTAAGAATCCGCCCATCAGTGCAGGGGACATGGGTTCAAGCCCTGGTCCGGGAAGATCCCATATGCCACGGAGTAACTAAGCCTGTGCACCACAACTACTGAGCCTGTGCTCTAGAGCCCACGAGCTACAACTACTGAGCCCGCGTGCCACAGCTACTGAAGCCCGTGTGCCTAGAGTCCGCGCTCCGCAACAAGAGAAGCCACCGCAATGAGAAGCCCGCGCACTGCAGTGAAGAGTAGCCCCCGCTCACCACAACTAGAGAAAGCCCGCACACAGCGAGGAAGACCCGACACAGCCAATAATTAATTAATTAATTAATTAATTTTTTTTAAAAAAACCCAGACCGGGGTTTCCCTGGTGGCGCAGTGGTTGAGAGTCCGCCTGCCGATGCAGGGAACACGGGTTCGTGCCCCGGTCTGGGAAGATCCCACATGTCCCACATGCCGCGGGGTGGCTGGGCCTGTGAGCCATGGCCACTGAGCCTGTGTGTCCGGAGCCTGTGCTCCGCAACGGGAGAGACCACAACAGTGAGAGGCCTGCGTACCACAGAAATAAATAAATAAATAAAAAATTTAAAACCCAGACCTCATTTTACCTCTTAGTGAACATGTGTTTTTATATAATTTTTTTAAAGCGATCTCTATAATGAGGAAAAAGATAATAAAATATAATGAAGATCTCATTTATAATTGCAATAAAGATATATAACAATTAGAAATAAATTTAACAAGAAATATATAGAAAAAACTTTAAAGCCTTGACGGATAGAAAAGAAAACTTATCTAACTGTAGAGACACCCCCTGGTATTGACTAGAATGTCTTACTATTATAAACATAGCAGTTGTCCCTTAAATCAGTCTGTAAATGTAATGTTGTACAGTCTGAACAGCCTAGGTTTGCTGCACTTTCACATTAGCCCTGGAAGCCCAAGGCTGACACGGGAGAGCTTCCTTCTCAGTCATACTGCACGTCCCTTGTGGGCTGGTGGGAGACCCTGCCCACGCAGTTGCTGGGGGGCCCACACTCTCCGAGGCTCCGCCCCTTTGGAGCTCCCCCATCTGCTAGAAACACCAGCCTCAGAGGCAGGAAAAGAAAGGAGTGAGTCACATTCCAGCAATTAAATCTTTAGGCCTGGAAGCATCACACTCGGCCACTGGCCGGACTGATCGCATGACCACATGTTACTGCAAGGAAGCCAAGCAGCGTGGTCCTGACATGTGCAGGTCTCAGGAGAGCACCAGATACTGGTGACCACCAACAGGCATCCATAAAAAGGCCTTGGATTCTTGAGAGGGAGCCAGACAAGCCACAAGTCTGTGTGAAACTGCTGATGAGGGGGCAGGGGGTACATGGAAATCTCTGCACCTTCCCCATACTTTTGCTATGAACCTAAAACTGCTCTAAAAAAATGAAGTCTTTAAAAAAAAAAGAAAGCTGAGATATTAAAATGCATCACCAAACATTGGAACTAAAACAGTGTTACTGACAATGAATTTGACAAATCAGTTGAATGGAATATTAAGTTAGAAATAGATTACGAATACAGAAATTGAGTATATGTAACCTCAGATTGCAAGTTCGTTGAGTAAAAGAACAACTGTGAGTAAATGGCACTGGGGTAATTCACTGGCCTCTGAGGGAGAAAATGAAGGTAACCTCCACCTCACTCATTCCTCTAAAATAAATTCTAGATGGATCAAAGAATTCAATGTTAAAGAGAAAACTGAAACAGTATAGAAGAAAACTTGGAAACAATGTCTTAGAGTGAGGTGTATATACTAAGCAAAAACCTAGAAGCTTTCAATGAAATTGATTAAATTACTACCTAAAATGTAGAAGTCTGTTGCCTCCCTCATCCCCCCAAAATTATAATCAAAGTCAAAAGAAAAAAATTAACAAAATGGGGGGAAATATTGGCATCACATGTAAGAGACCAATTTCTTTAATTTCTAATGAATCTTAAAAGATCAAGAACGTTGGAGGGTCCAACATTCTACCCTACTTAATATAGAAAATGGGATCTCAGATATCAGTGTGTTAATTACTAAAGTGTCTGAGATTTTGTCGTTTGCAAGTTAGCCTCTGCCACGTGACGGGTGCCGGCAGAAGACACAGCCCGTTGGGTCAGAGTCAGAGAAGCTCATCATTTGCAGCTTAGAGGCAGCACGAGCACCACGTCTGCGTCCGTCCCCCTGCCCCCAAGGCTCACGAAGTGGGTTCATGCTACAGCCGAGGAGCCTGGGTCTTTCATGACGGACAGTAGGCAAGGCTGCCCTCTGCTCCGAGGGAGACACCGTCTCTCTTCGAGGCTGTTTACTCTACAGACGCCCTGGAAAGGCCGTGTGGAGCAGAAAGGTGGTTGGGCCTCTGTTCACAAGATGCGCAGAAACGCCAAAGACCGTGGAGAGTTGCCTCCTAGTAACAGATCACCCGCCAGCCCCTCGAGCCCCGGAGCAGAAATCCACAGATGACGGATGCGCATAGAAGTGCAAAGTGCTTACCTTCACCCACAATTACAGACATGCAGGTTGCAGCATTGACGACAAACCGTTTCTCACCAGCAGTAAAGCCAAAATCAGAAAGGTGGCCCCGGTGCCTGCTTTGAGACCACAACGTAGAGAAAGCCACCCTCTGATGTGTGCTGATGAGAGAGTACAGCAGGGAGGAGGCGTGGCGGGGGGGGGGGCCGCCCCCGCCCGCCGCAGACAGCAGGCGCCCGTTTCTGGAAGGACACAGGAGGGGTGTGTCACAGGGGTGAAAGAAGAAAGAAGACTTTTCATTTTTTACTTACTGAATTGTTGGATTTTTTTTTCCCACCATGTATACATATTACCTCTTCAAAAGTTTAAATTTAAAAAAATAAAAATTCGATAAACTCACAAAATCTGAAAGCAGTGAAACTTGAATCAGCCTCACACGTGCAGAGGGCATGGTCCCGAAGGTCTCCACAAACAGAAAGTTTTTCAGGCAGGGAAGAATCTACTTTCAAAATAAGAATTTTCATACTTTTTTTTTTTCAGTGGAAAAACTAGGTTCTTTAACTTATTTTTTGTTTAAGTGCATAGGTTTTAAAATCAGATGGGCCAAGGGTCAAGTCCTGACCGTTCTGTTCAGTAGCCTTAGAGGATGAACTTCACCCCTGAGAGGCCCCTGGAGGCTTAGTGAGGCCTGCACTGTGCACAGAGGAAAGGGCAGGTCCCTCTGCCCCGAGCTCCCGGGGTGGAAGAGCAAGGAGGCAGCCACGTGACAGGATGTATCCGTCACCTCGGGCTGCCACAGACCGGGGGCTTGAACGGCAGTTCGAGGTGGTTGGGTGTCAGCGTGGTCAGTGTCTGCTTTGCTGCAGACGCAGCCTTTCCTCTGCTCACACTCAGACCAGAGGCCCTGGTGTCTCTCCCTCTTCTCATCAGGACCCCAGTCCTCTCAGAACAGAGCCCACCCCTGAGACCTCAGTCAGCCCTAATGACCCCTGTCAAGGCCCCCTCCACGCACGGCCACGCTGGGGGTTAAGGCTTCACGTAGGACCTTTTTTTTTTTTTTTTTGCGGTACGCGGGCCTCTCACTGCTGAGGCCTCTCCCGTTGCGGAGCACAGGCTCCGGACGCTCAGGCTCAGCGGCCACGGCTCACGGGCCCAGCCACTCCGCGGCATGTGGGATCTTCCCTGACCGGGGCACGAACCCGCGTCCCCTGCATCGGCAGGCGGACTCTCAACCACTGCGCCATCAGGGAAGCCCCATGTAGGACCTTTGAGGAGATACAGCGGGGCTGTAACACACGCCCCCAGCCCCACGCTCACAGCCCCGGGGCCCCCAGCCGTGCACTCACGCTCACACAGTGCTCAGTCTGCACGGTCACACCCAGGGGACCTGCACTTAATCTCTTGGGGTTCCTCCTAATCTCTAGAATCTGTAGTTCTCTTGTTATTCTGCATCTCAGATTTTTCAATAGACTTGCTTAGAAAGATGTAAGTGCACAGGCTTTATGACAGAAAAGAGGACTCACAGTTTTATTCATAAAATCATTTAATGTGTTTACAAGATTGTAATAAAAACTCACTCTGTTATTTTATTAGAGCATTAGTTTGGATGAGTTCAAGTCATTTTGTCATTTTGCGACCCACTTGGAAGACTTCGCTATTGCCATGCAGATGTTTAGTTTAGCTCATCGCCCTGTCAGACTAGGTAAGTTATATGAATCACTTAATTTTTGTCATCTGCAAACAGTGTCACTCTGTTCTTCACCTGGTTGATACCAATCAAGGGACCACTTACCAGAAAAAACAGTTGATTGGCCTTTCAATGAATTCAATGTGGTTATTCCAGATTTACAACAATTTATTAACAATTACTTTTTTGCTTTTACTTTACTTTTCCCCGAGAAGTAGAAGAAAATATTTAAATATCTGTGTTCAAAACACTGATTACATTAAAATAGCATGCTGACATTTCTCAGCCAAGTTTATTATTTGAACACATTTTTGTTCTTGTTTTACTTCCCAAGTGATAAATATATAGAGTTGTTTTTTCTTCTCAGATAATAAACATTTAGACTATTTTACATTGTTGATGAGTTTTTATATTTTCTCCTTTTAGCGGAGTTTAAGAGAGCTGTGAAGGTAGCAACGGGACAAGAACTCTCCGACAATATCTTGGACACCGTCTTCAAGATCTTTGATTTGGATGGTGATGAGTGTCTTAGTCATGAAGAGTTTCTTGGGGTGTTAAAAAACAGGATGCATCGAGGTTTATGGGTAACAGATTTTGAGCTTTTAAATAGTTACATGTTTATATGTAGTTAAGTGAATGGAAGTAAACCTAGAATTTGAGCAAATGTACTGTCTTAAATGGAGTTTTCATCATTTTTAAAGAGACTATAAGCTATAGTTACAACACTGAAGCATCTCCTACAGATGGGATCCACCGTTCTTCTTTGCTTTTTTTTAAAATAGTCTGAATCAGGAAGCGCTACTCAGAAGTCATAGCCTAGAGTTTTGCTTTGGGCTCTTGTCGTTAGACGCTGAGACCCAAACCCCAGCCCTGTCGCATACTAACTGCCACATCTTGCAAAGACACGTAATTCTTCTGAGCCTCAGATTCCTCATCTGTAACAGTGAGAAACAGAATCTACCAGAAAGAATTATTATGAGAGTTAAGCGTAAAATATTTAATGTAGTGGCTGAGACACTTGAAGTAGGTGTTAGCTCTTATCTTATTCACTCAAGTTCACATAGTGGGTCTATAACTGAAGGACAAATCAAACTCAGAATTCTGTTTAGATTAGCATCTGCTAGAGACACTCATGAAAGCCATCTGCAGGGTGAAAATAAGGTTCCAGGAGATGATAAGTAGGTAGTGAGTGCGGAAGAAAGGCAGGAGGGAGAACAGGAGAGAGACTGCGGTGGGTTCATGTAAACAGAGCTGTTCAGTTACAACTTAGAAGAGCACGTTCGTTTTCCTGCTGCAAACATTATTTACGGAAAATGAACAAATATGATCTCCACTAGCAGACGTGATTTACAAGCTTGTGCTTATCCAGCACCTCATAGTTAATGATCATATTCCTGGAAATTAAACCAGCCTTGCCAGTTAACAGTTTAACATATCCAGCAGCCTCTTTGCCGTTTCTCAAAAACATATTAAAGAGAAGAGCTTCAAATCAATGGTAGGAAAAGGACATAAATATAATCTGAAATCGACTTTTGCTTCCACTTGGTGGATTTCCAGCAATGCTGTGCATATGATCACCAGGAGCCAGATGTTTTCTAACCTTTGCTTCTCCTTTAACTGAGAGCAATCATAGCCACACAGTACTTGTGAGAATTACATTATAGTATATATCACTGTATCATTGGGTTGGCCGAAGAGTTCATTTGTGTTTCCACAGACGAACTCTTTGGCCAACCCACTGTTTCTTCTTAAGGCTTCTCATCAAGTATATTGTGACTTATGGTTTCTTTCTTTTTAATTTTAGCCAAGGGTAGGTCAGAGTTTTAGGCTGATAATTTTTGTTCCACATAGCTAACTGAAGTTCACCAGAAAACCAAAAACATTATGAAGTAATTACATTTTAAAACCAATAGATGAAAGAAAGCTGCGCGAAGTCTTTGTTACCTTGTTGGGGAGGAGCCTCCATTCTCTCGGTACCCTGGGATACTCCCTACTCACATTCACTTCTCATCCTTTACCTTTAGTTTGCAGTCTGCTGCAGTCACCTTCACAGTGTCATCACCTCCAGTCCTTTCTGGAGGAGTGTGGGACTGTGCAGTGACAAGCACGTGTGAACCGGATTTAACTCGCAGACCGTGACCCTTAGTTTTCATTTTTGGTTAACAGGTGCCGCAACAGCTCAGTATACAAGAATACTGGAAATGTGTGAAAAAAGAAAGCATTAAAGGAGTGAAAGAAGTCTGGAAACAAGCAGGAAGAGGTCTTTTATAGAAAAACATAATGTGGGAATTACATTGCTCCAAGTGTCGGAACTGGGGATTTCTTAAAGTACTAGATGGTTATCTTCTTAAGTCTTCATTGATTTCCTTTGTAATATAAAGATGCCTTATATTTGCTTTCTGATTCAGTAATTTCTCAGTAAGATTTCATTACAGAACTTCGTAAAAAGAAAGTATTCTTTTACGAAAACAGACAGTGGACTCTGTCCAAAGCCTAGTATTGAAGTAACACTTTGACTTTGATAAGATGGAAAACCTGGTCATTCACTGGTGTCAACACAGCAGCACAGCACGTTCTCTGGAGCAGTCAACAGGCGCACAGGAAGAGTCACTGACGTGAGGCCAGGATCAGTTCTGCAGTCCTGATGCTCCTAGTAGGGCAAATTAAGTTAAAACATTTCAGGTTTTCTTATCTGTACCTTACATCTCATAGACTTCTTGTACATTTTATTTCAGTGAGCTGTATATTAGTTGTCTTTAAAATAATATGTAAATTTCAGTATTCTGGAATGTTCTGGAAACAATAAAGTATAAAGATAAAAAAATTACTGAGGTGCATTTTGTTTTATATGTACTGTTTAAAAACTACATTTTGGGGGGCTTCCTTGGTGGCACAGTGCTTAAGAATCCACCTGCCAATGCAGGAGACACGGGTTTGACCCCTGGTCCGGGAAGATCCCACATGCCACGGAGCATCTAAGCCCCTGTGCCACAACTACTGAGCCTGTGCTCTAGAGCCCGTGAGCCACAACTGCTGAGCCCGCGTGCCACAACTACTGAAGCCCAAGTGCCTAGATCCCGTGCTCCGCAACAAGAGAAGCCACCGCAATGAAAAGCCCATGCACCGCACCAAAGATCCATTGTGGCCAAAAATAAATAAAACAAATTTTTTAAAAAATAGTGTGATCGGGAGAACCTTGATCACATGATAAGGGTCTCTTGGGATATAGTGCTTTATGGGTGAGTGTTTAAAATGGTACTAGAATTTAATTGTCATTAAGTATAAATATTTTAAATATGGCAAATAAAAATTATTTTTTAATATGCTTCTCAAGAATAGTGCAAATATTTAAAACATGTTCCACTCTCTGGATAAACAGCTGATTCCAAGACAGATGCAGGCAAACCTTGGAAACATTATGCCAAGTAAAATAAGCCAGACACGAAAGGACTAGTATTGTATGATTCCACTTATGTAGGTCCCTAGAAGAGGCAACTTCATAGAGACAGAAAGTGGACTAGAGGTTGCCAGGGGCTGGGAAGGATGGGGGATGGGGGATTGCTGCTTAATGGTTACAGAATTTTGGTTTAAGGTGATGGAAAATTATGGAAATGCATAATGGTGATGTTTGCACATTTAATTAATGCCACTAAATTGTACACTTAAAATGGTTGAAATGGCAGTCTTTATGTTTTGTGTGTATATACATATATATATCCTTTTTAACGTAATTTTTAAAAATCAGTATTGTAATACACCAATAGACGCTGAATTGTTTATGTGGGTAAACTATATGGTATGTGAATTATATCTTAAAGAAGCTTTTTTTTTAATTTGGCTGCGTTGGGTCTTCATTGCTGCACGTGGGCTTTCTCTAGTTGTGGCGAGCGGGGGCTACTCTTCATGGCGGTGCATGGACTTCTCATTGCGGTGGCCTCTCTTGTTGCGGAGCACAGGCCCTAGAGCACGGGCTCTAGAGTGCAGGCTCAGTAGTTGCAGCACGCAGCCTCAGTAGTTGTGGCTTGTGGGCTCAGTAGTTGTGGCACACAGGCTGTAGAGCGCAGGCTCACTAGTTGTGGCGCACGGGCTTAGTTGCTCCATGGCATGTGGGATCTTCCCGGACCAGGGCTCGAACCCATGTCCCCTGCATTAGCAGGTGGATTCTTGAGCACTGCACCACCAGGGAAGCCCCTTAAAGAAGCTATTTTTAAAAAACAATGTATGATATGGACAAGGTTAACCAGTGGTGAATAGTTGAGAAGGAGTATTTGGAAATGTCAAAAGCCAACAGGGGATTCATATCTACATCTTGGTTCTCCACCAAGTGAGACCTAATATCCTTTCCCCACCACCACGATTTTTTTTTTAATTTCTTTTTCTAATGCCCTTATACTATCCTGAAATGAAATTTATACGTAACCTTACATATTTTTAATAACATAAAGCAGTAACCTATATTTTTTAATTTATAATAAAATAGCATATAATCAATATGCACATGTTCAGACACTACTAAAGGACCCACCGGGCCCGCACCACCGTCTGCTTTGTGCGTCACTTCCATCATCTCTGGCTGCCTGGGACCAGGGTCCACCCCTGGCCAATCACGTGTGCCCCGAAGGGTGGCGTCTGTACGGAACGCGCGCAGCTTCCTTGACCACCCCACCCCACCCCACCCCCCGCCCAGGGCTAGAGGGGGCAGAGAAGGAGGCTTATCAAAAGGGGGCTGCTGCTCCCAGAGGGCGACGAGGGTGGGCGCTTCCTCCCCACGTGAAGAGTCTAACGGCTGAGACCAGTTTCGGGGTCTCCGGGGGCCCGCAGGTCTGTGACTCAGCGCCAGAGATCAGGGGCGATTTCAAGAAGTCGGCTGCCCACTGAGGACTTGCTCCAAGAATTCTCCATATGTAACCCTTTGTCACCAGTATATCTGAAAGCGTTCCCTAAATTAACAGCTATGGAAAAGATTCTCGTTTGATTTGTGTATTTTATTTTCTCCTCCTCTTACTGGGGCACGTTTTAGACTTTCGGTGAGACTTGGCTAAGCAGAGAGGAGCCGGCCAGGCCCTGTAGCCCCGGGTCTTTTCTCTTTTCTAAGCCTCCGAGTGTCCCGTATCCCGCCACCCCTTACCTCCGCCCGGGTGGTGAGGAACAGGGGGAAGGAGAAAGGAGAAAAGGCGGCACCTGACCTGCAGTACGGGCGCCTGAACCTCCTCTCAGTGACCCGCGAGGCCCTTCTCCAGACGCCGCCCTCTCTGCCGACCTTGTACCGAAGGAAAAAGCACAAGGTGAGCAGCTGAGCCGACCTCCGGTCAGCCCGGGACAGAGGCTCCACGTCTCCCCGCTTTCCTCCTAAGCGGCAGGTATTTCCCTCTAAATTATACCGGCTACGTGGGTTTTTAAAGAAATTTCCCCGATCTTCCCCGGGGAGGTACGAAGCAAACAGCAAAATCAGAATTTGATGCTAAGAAGGAAACAGAGAGCTAGATAAAGGCGGCACAGGGCAGACGAGGAGCTAAAGTGTGTTTAAGGGAAACGGCACGTCCTCAAAAGCTGGGGGCAAACTGACACCAATAGCATCCCAGTGCCGTAGAAGAAATGAGACAGAAAGATGAGATTCAGGGCGAAAATGAGGAGAACCCTGCCCGTCCGGTGACGTAGCCCGGCAGCTCCTTTAAAATAAAAGAACTGCAACACAAATGTTCCACAAGATGGCACTCTTGCTTTTCCAAAATAGTTTATCTTCCTTGCGCACCAAGCGTGACCTTTAACAGAAAAACCAAGCAAATACCCAGAAAATTACAGAGTATATTGAAGGAGCCCCGTAGGAGACTTTGGCCGGACGAGCCTTGGTTAAATATCCACCAGCTCGTAGAGAAATGAACACAGGGCGCTACCATGGTTCCCATTCACATGAAATTTGTGTTTGGTTATGTTCAGTGAGGAAGGAAATTAATCTCTGGAATCTCTAGATGACGCACTGTATTTTGGGTAGGTTATTTCTTCAGCAGCGTTAGTATCAAATCTCTATTGAACCTGCTCTATCCAGTGCACTCTGCGAGGTGCTAATCTTCCTTGTATGGAAGCTTTCTTTCCAAGAGGATGAAACAGGAGAAAATATTTTCCTTCTAACATTTATAACACCTGGATTTACATAATATTTAGACATTCAATCTTGGGAGAAAATAGTATTAATTAATAACCCCTTTATGGTTTACAGCATGTCATACAAGCTCTCCCCAGTGACAAAATGTTACAATCCAAAGTGAATTGAAGGAATTTTCATTGCTGCATCATTTCAATTAATACAAATTTAATTTGCATTCATTTGAACTAGCTTGAATGTCCAGCACCATGAAAGTGATAAATAAATTGTGCTAGAGTTGTACAATGGAATGCCAGGCAGCAGTTAACGTGACGAACGCAACAAATTAAGTTCCGTGATCTTGCTAGTTGCTAAGCTGTTGTCTCTGTTCCCAGCCCTCCCTCCCATACACAGTCAGCCTTGTGATGCTGGGTTGGGCCATGCTCCCATCTGCTGCTGTCCTGCCAATGTCCCCAGAGCCCCAGCCGGCACCCTAGCAGCCCTTGGTACCAATCTCCCACTGTTCCGGTTGCTGTGAACGTTCTGGCACTCCCAGAACCAGATCGCTGTGTTCTCCCGGACAACCAGCACCACTGGCAGGCTTCCCTCACTAAGCAGCCCGGGGCCGTTCCTTCAAGCGTCTGGATCCTAATACACTGCCCCTCCTCTCTTCGTGCCCCACCCTCAGGGGTGGGGGGCTCTTCCTGCAGGTGCTTCCTCTGTGGGACCTCAGTCCCCTTTGCTCTTTGCTTCTCTAACACCTGTTTAACCACGTCCTTGTAGTAAATTTTCTCTGTTGAAATACTTAATGTGAATCCTAACTGATAAAATGACCATATGTCAGGAACTATAGATACACAAGATAGATAGGTAGACGAGCATACGTATATTCATGCTAGTATATATACCACAGTAGATGTATAGGTTCATGCATACATACAAGTACGTATATACATATTTTTACATATACTACATATATACCTGTATATACGTACATTGTATGTAAAATTTCATCTAGCCCTCCCACTGTGAGATTGATGCTATTATCCCTGATAGACAGAAGAAACTGAATCTCAGGGAACTTAGATAAATCCCACGATATTATATAGCTAGCAAGTGAGGAAGCTGGGGCTTGAATCCAAATGTCACTGACACCGCAACCCATCTTTTTTCCACTATGCCCGTCAATTTATCCTGACTAGCGTTCCACGTCATGCTTCCATCCCTAGGCTGGTCCACAAATGTTTCTTCACCTCATAATATAAATAAGCTTTAACGCTATTCTAATAATACTAAGAACATCACCACCGTATACAAGACTGCTTCTGTGATCAAAGTTATGGGGAGTTTGAGAAAACTGTGGGGAAAGCATGGACACCCCTAATTCCAGGTTATGTCAATTAATATGATTCAGTGCCTCTTCTGTGCCTGACTGTGTGCTGGGCTCACCATGGAAGCAAAACAGACCTAGTCCCTCTTTCAGAAAGCTCACAGTCTGGGGAAACTATCTTTAATTAAATAATCATACATGGGAGGAGTACCTGAGTGTATCATACAGGGGTTTAACATAGAGAGGCTGAATGACTACAGGGCAGCTCCAAATACACCCCCTCACACACACACACACCTACACACACACAGACACACGCACAGACACACACTCAAGAGCTTGGCCTGTGCCCCTCTACTGTCTGGAATGGCGTGTCCACTCTGCCTTTGCTTGCCAGAAACTTGTCAGTTCTCAGTCCAGAACAATCATAGAGAGATAACAGCAATGCAGACAGTAGAGCTGCGTAATGTTTCCTAAAAACCTGCTCTTTTCTGGTAGGGAGTCAATGTTTCCTGAGGCAGCAGCCAAACCCAGGCTTTCCCTGTAGCCTAAATGCAGTCAGTAACACGTGCCTGGACCGATCAGTGAACCAGTGGCCCAGAAGCTTTCTGGGGACAGATTCCAGATGAGCAAACACAGATCTAACCAAACCAGAAACTCTTGCAGTCGTCAGGGTCAGGAATCTATGTGCCATCCCACCGTGACAGCTGAGTCTCTGGACACACTTTTTGGCTGCATTTCATTAGTCAACAAACAGATCATTAGTCAACTACACAGCAGAGAAAAAGACAAAGGCCTGGTGCAGCCAAGGTCCACCAATAGATGTTCAAATTAGTGGGAGAAACTTCGCAGAGAAGCAGGATATTTGCATAGCCTCAAAGTACCTCCCCCCCAAATTGAACAGATGGCCACAAAGTCCTTGACATTCCTCCCTGCAGGAGGTAGAATTTAATTCCTTTCCCTTTGAATGTGGCTGGACTTGACGACTGTTTTCTAATGCATAGTGCAGGGAAAGGGAAATTGTGACTTTACAGTGGACACAGTACCTTAAGCACGTGATGAAGGCTAATGTGAACAGTAGGCGTGTCAACATCACATCCACCTGCCATGATGAGAAAGGCACACATCTCTGTGCTTTTCTTCCCCAAATCCACAACCGCAGTCTAGTCATGGGAAAACATCAGACAAACCCAGATTGAAGGACGTTCTGAAAACCACCTGACCAGTACCTTTTGAAAGCGTTTCTCCATGCAAAGCAAGGAAGGCACACTGGAGGAGACTAAGATGTGGCGACTAAATGCAAAGTGGGATTCCGGGGCGGAAAAGGATATTCGTGGGAAAACTGGTAAAAATCAGCCTGTAGTTTAAAGTGTTGTATCCATGTTAATTTCTTAGTTTTGATAAATACATCATGGTTTTATAAGATGTTAGCATTAGGGAGGCTGAGTGAAGGCTATATAGGAACTCTACTATCTTAAAAACTCTTCTGCACACTTAAAACTGTTTCAAAATAAAAAGATTAAAAAAGAAAAGGGCGGAAAAGGCACCACAAACTGGAACCCATCTCTGCTGATGGATGAAGCGTTTCTGATGTTTAAGGGATGGGTAGTGGAAATGTTACTTTTACATTCAGTGAAGTCAAGGTCTGGGGATAAGCTGGTCCTGTGAGATTGGGACCAATTCCTTAGCACCCGGGCAAGGACAGGGATTAAGGGAAGGCTCCCCTGAGGCAGAGATGGGCCAGGTCTGACTGAGGGGTGGGAGATGCCAGGGGGAGGGGAAGGGTCAGTTCCTTACATTTTCTGCAGAGCAATCCCTCATCAGATATATGATTTGCAAATGTTTCTCCCATTCCATTGGCTGCCTTTTCACTTTGCCTTTGCTCTTAAGTGATCATTTCTCTGGCTATAAAATTTAGGGATATTAATGACTTTCTCTCAGCACTGAAAATACCACTTTGTTGTCTTCTGGCATCTGTTATCGCTGCGAGGGAAGTCAGCTGCCAATCCAGTTAGTGTTCCTTTGGTTACCAAAGGAAATTTGATTTCTATCTCTGGAATCTGAAAAATCCTAAAGATTTTTCTCTTTATTCTAAATGTTTATAGTTTCACTACTCTGTGTCTAGGTTTTAAGGACTTATGTCTTTCTTCAGCTCTGGAATATTCTCATACTTAATCTTTTCAAAACTCATTTCTTTGACATTCCTCTCGTCCTCTTCTGGAACGCTTATCATAAGTGTATGTTTAAGTCCGCCGGTATATCTTCCATGCTTTTCATATTTGAAACTTGCTATCTGTGTTGTGCTCTGGGTGAATTAGACCCACTTAGACCCATCTTCCAACTTGCTAAGTCCGTCTTCTCCAGTGTCCAGATTAGAATCTGTCTATTCAGAGTTTTTAATTTGACAATATTTTAATATTCTGAAGATTTCCAAATGGTTACTTTTAAAATCCACCTGTTCTTTCCCCAATTTTTATTGTTTTGTTTCAAAAATTTCTGTTCTTTTCAGATGGAAATTATTTTTTCACTTACCCCTTTGGGCATGCCATATACTGTTTTTATTATTTTATTTTATTTTATTTACTTTCTGGCCACACCACACACCCAGGCCACGGCAGTGAAAGTGCTGGATCCTAATCACTAGACCACTAGGAACTCGTGCCATATACTGTTTTTTTTTTTTTTTTTTTTTTTTTGTAGTACGCGGGCCTCTCACTCTTGTGGCCTCTCCCATCGCGGAGCACAGGCTCCGGACGCGCAGGCTCAGCGGCCATGGCTCACGGGCGCAGCCGCTCCGCGGCATGTGGGATCTTCCCAGACCGGGGCACGAACCCGTGTCCCCTGCATCGGCAGGCGGACTCTCAACCACTGCGCCACCAGGGAAGCCCATATACTGTTTTTAAAAGCCTTTGTAAGACTGCTTCATAAAATTATTTTCAGTGAATTCAAGTTCTTTTTTTTTTTTGGCCACACCACGCGGCATGTGGGATCTTAGTTCCCCGACCAGCCCTCCTGCATTGGAAGTGCAGAGTCTTAACCGCTGGAACCACCAGGGAAGTCCCAAATTCAAGTTCTTATTGTTAATTTTTTTTTTTTTTTGCGTTCTCTCTTAGTATTAGATTTGTGTGTGTGTGTTGGAATTGTAGCTTAATTCTAAATTTATGAGTTTGTGGGGTTTTTTTTTTCTTCACACTCCATATTTATAGCTACATGGCTTCCGTAAACCGCGTCTAATGGTTTCACAGCTACCTCTAGTTGCCCTTATTCTTCCCCAGCCCTCAGCTCGGAACCGGAACTTAAAGTGGCATTTTGGAGCTCCTGGGTGGCGGTGACAGTGGGGACTCTGCAGATGCAGTCCTCAGGGCAGCTGCACACTCCCGGGACGGGGAGCTGCCCTGTGTCCTCCAGGCTCTGTTGAAAGCCACGGTCCTGAAGGGAGAAGCTGTCCCACAAGGCGGTATGCGGGAGCCGCCTTGGCTGGGACATGATTTGTCCCCTTTACATGAACTAGAACACCTGGCTTAGGGCCTGGCAAACAGGCGTTGTCCGTCTGCTTTCGTCACTAAAGAGGAAAACGCGGTACGGGGAGGTGAACGTCCACGCCCTGGGCAGGGATGAGTGCCTGCCCTTCCTGTGCTCCCTCCGCGATAAGGTCCATCCCAGAGGCCAAGGTCACGGACTCACTCAACAGGGTCATCTGTCTCCCTTGAAATCTGCAAGCAGCGAAACTTGAAGGTTCTTTAATGATTACAGGCGTTAATGACTACAGCCATTGTTACAGCCATTGTTTCGATTCGCCAGGTATAAACAAATTCTGGAAATTTCAGTAGTTTTTGCCTACAGAAGAGGGTTGTTACCCGTTCACAACTCAACCTTAAATTTGGGTTTCAAATCAAACTGACACACTACACGGCTTCCATCCTAAATCACACGCACCTACGGTTTCCATCTCCGAAAACGGAGGGCTTCCGCCCGAAACACGAGCAAATTATTTCAAAGCGCGGGGGTCCCAAGAGGAGAGGCACCTAGGGCCCCCGAGGCCACAGCTCGGGTGGGCACGGTCGCCCCGCACGGAGCCTCCCCCGGGAGCCTCAGTCAGCCAGAGCAGCGCCACGCCCTCGCCGGCCGCCAGGAGGCACTGCCCACTGCGGATGCGTGCTCCCTCCGCTCACTTCCGCCGCCCGCTACCCCGCCCCTTCCGCCGCCCGCCCAGCAGGCCACGCCCGTTCTTGCCCCGCCCCCACGTCACGGAGACCCTCCCGCCCGCCCCCGGCGGCGGTGGACGCGGACGCAATGCGGGCGGGGGCGGGGCCGGGCGCGGGCGCGATGCGGAGAGGGGAGGGGTCGGGGCGGAGGCGGGGGCGGGGCGCTGAGCCGCGGGGAGTGCCCGAGTAGACGCTGCTGCTGCTGCCGCCGCCGCTGCTGCCGCCGCCGCCGCCGGGGGTCTGGCGTGCCCCGCCACCCCGGGCAGCTGGGTGCCGAGGCCGCCGGCGGAACATGGCGCCCTGCACGTTCTGGCGCTGCTGCCAGCGCACCGTGGGCTGGGTGCCGGTGCTCTTCATCACCTTCGTGGTCGTGTGGTCCTACTACGCGTACGTGGTGGAGCTGTGCGTGTGTGAGTACCGGGCGGGGCGGGGGGAGGCCCCTCGGCGCGGCCTCCGGCGCCGGGCAGGCGCGCTCGGTGGGCAGGGCGCTCCCCCGCGCTCGCGTGTGTACGCCCGAGCCCGGCTGCGGGGCCCGGTTCAGCCCGTGTGTTTCGGGTCGGCATCCAACCTCTTAGACACAATGTGCTTCTGAGGCGAGGGAGCGGCGGCCGCCGGGCCCGGCCTGTGTCCCGGCTGTTTGCGGAGTTGACGTTCCCTCCGCCTGGGTTCCGAGGGCGTTCTCCTCGGCCCTCGGCCCTGAGCGCGGGCGGAGGGTCGCCGCGGAGCGCCCACGCCGGGGCCGTGGTCCAGCCGCCGCTCCCCGGACCCGCCGGCCTCCTCCGCGTCGCTCGCCGTGTCTGCCGCTCGTGTCGGTCCGTGCTGGGAGCTCAGGACCAGAGGCTCCGTGCTGTCGGTAGACCCGGTCCCTTGGTCCCCCAGAATGATCTCGTCCGGGTCTACGCCGAGTCTGCAGTTTTTTGAAAGGCCCAGCAGTGTATACCTTAAGCGGAGAAAAGGCACAGGAGGTAGATGCTAATTGTCTGAATGGGAAGAAGTGGCACCACCCACTCGGCTTGGAAGGGCAGAATCGGACCCTCGGGTAAGGGCCCTACGCTGGTACTGCTCGCGAATAAGTACTTGGTTAAAACCGAGTTCTGCACGTGAAAGAGACTGCTTTGGCTCAGAAGTTTTGAGGGTAGGTTTTTAAATGAAAATATCCACCTTTGAGAAAGTTATTTTGTACCTATAGAACATTTAATTTTCAGGGAAACTATCCCTGCAAGTAGGTCCAGAATAAATTAGTTGTGGAATACGTTTCCAAATAATAATGGAGTTCATCTGTTGCACGTGATTGTTTAGTTTCATCCTTTTGGATACCAAAATGTTTGCCGAAAATGTTTGCATCAATTAAAATTGACCAGATTTAGGTGTTTCTTAAAGCTACTTCCAGAAAGTGATCACGATCATGGGACCCTCAACAGCTTTGTGATGATACTTTACCTTCTTTTTTTGACCGCACCCCTCTGGCTTGCGGGATCTTAGTTTCCTCCACCAGGGATGGAAGCCGTGCCCTCTGAAGTGGGAGCCCGGAGTCCTAACCACTGGACTGCCAGGGAAGTCCCATACCTTATTTACTCCAAAGTGGGAATAAGATTTATTCTACCAATCTTATTTCTATCAGATTATTCCCTCCTTCTTCTAATTCCATAGTGGTTTTAAAGTAAAAGTTCTGAAGCTTTCCTTGAAAATGTGCGTTTATGTTGAAACTGCACATTTAACCTGTAGATGGTTATCATACATATCAAAAGGTGACATCAAATACGAAGGGAGGGACTTTCCTGGCGGTCCAGTGGTTAAGACTTCGCCTTCCAATACAGGGGGTGCGGGTTCCATCCCTGGTCGGGGAGCTGGGATTGGGATCCCACATGCCTTGCAGCCAAAAAACCGAAACAGAAGCAATATTGTAACAAATTCAATAAACACTTTAAAAATGGTCCACATCAGGGCTTCCCTGGTGGCGCAGTGGTTAGGAATCTGGCTGCCAATGCAGGAGACACAGGTTCGAGCCCTGGTCCAGGAAGATCCCACATGCTGCGGAGCAGCTAAGCCTGTGCCCACAACTGCTGAGCCTGTGTTCTAGAGCCCGCGAGCCACAACTACTGAGCCCACATGCCACAACTACTGAAGCCTGTGTGCCTAGAGCCCATGCTCCGCAGCAGGAGAAGCCACCACAATGAGAAGCCCATGCATTGCAACGAAGAGTAACCCCGCTCGCCACAACTAGAGAAAACCCGTGCGCAACAACGAAGACCCAAGCAGCCAAAAATAAATAAATTTATTAAAAAAAAAAATGGTCCACATCAAAAATAAAAAATCTTAAAAAAAAAAAAGAAAACATGAAGGGAAAGGAACGTGCATGTGCTAGTAGGGGGGAACATTCCATCGTTCTCCCCTTTACCCCTTTCATGCCTCTGAGCATAGGTGTCTCTACAGATGAAGGGAATGAGACTGGTCCTTTGGTCGGTCACACAGCTGTTGAGTGGCTACAGGGGTGTGACACACATCTTTCCACTCTGCATATAACTTTTCGTGAGCCAAGAGGGTCACTGGAACTGTAATTGTTCCGTCCACAGTGGGGAATTGGGGCGGAGCTAAGTGGTTGCCCTCTTAGGAAATCAGTTAGGCTTTAGGCCCGTCATTTAGACATCACACCCCCAGGATTTCATTAAGTTAAAACATTGTGCAACAGTTAAGGCCCAAATACTTGGCAGAATTTTGAAGTACTCAGGGGTGATAGGTCTTACATAGGGACTGCGTTTACTGCTTCTAAGTTATCAGACTTTAACTAGGGAGCCTTTGGGAGCTGTGCAGTGTCACTGGCCTACATGGTGGAGCATAAAAGCTCATTCACTCTCACATTAAAACTATCCTTTATGCTACTTATGCATAATTGATGTTTGTATAAGCACAGACCATCCTACTGAGCTATATCAATGTATAACTTTATAGGAGCTTTAAACTGAGTGAAGTGTGAGTTTTATTTAAAGTGCTGTTTCAATGATTTTTACAGAATTTTCTCAGTTTCTGGTGTTCTTTATCAAATTAGATGGGAGAGAATGATAATTTTATCTTTAGATATGTTAATTTATTTAATTCTCATAATAAAAAGAGTTAAATGATTTGTGCAGGGTCATACAACTAGTAAATGGCATAACCAGAAATGGAACTCAAGTGGTTTGGCTCCAGGGTCCATGCTTTTATATTTAACTACTGTGCAAGAGTAGTGTACTTGATTATCCAGATCTGGACACTCAGGGCAGATTTCAGTCTTATCTATAATTATTTATATAAGGTAATTTTCCTGAAAGGTAGTAGCTGAAGGTTCCTAAATATCTCAGATGGTAAAAATGCATGGCCCACTGTAGGACATTTGAAAAAATAAATTGTTTATGAGAGGCCCTTGTTCCAGCCTAGCCTCTATAACTTCTTAATTCTGTAATTCCATACACATACACACATATATACACATACACGTAGAAATATGTATAATCAGCAACTCCTCTTACTGGTAGGAGTAATATTGAGGATAAAGTTGAGTAAGAAGTAATGCATCTGAGATGGACATCTCACAGGGTGAAAAGCAGAGAAGTAACTATGGAGTAATTATTAATATTGGTCCTTGATTTTATTTTTTTTATTTTATTATTATTATTTTAAATTTTATTTATTTATTTATTTTTGGCTGTGTTACGTCTTCATCGCTGCTCACGGGCTTTCTCTAATTGTGGCGAGCAGGGGCTACTGTTCGTTGCAGTACGCAGGCTTCTCATTGTGGTGGCTTTTCTTGTTGCGGAGCACGGGCTCCAGGCACACGGGCTTCAGTAGTTGCAGCACACAGGCTCAGTAGTTGTGGCTTGCGGGCTCAGTAGTTGTGGCTCGCGGGCTCTAGAGCACAGGCTCAGTAGTTGTGGCACATGGGCTTAGTTGCTCCGCAGCATGTGGGATCTTCCCGGACCAGGGCTCGAACCCGTGTCCCCTGCATTGGCAGGTGGATTTTCAACCACTGCGCCACCAGGGAAGCCCCCTTGATTTTAAATTAAACTGAAATCCTTCATTTTTTTCCTCAAGGCTAATATTCAGACATATGAGTTTAGTTATGGGTGGAATGACCAACTTTTCCAGTTTGGTCAAACTGGTTATTGTTGGGGAAAGTGCTAGTACAGTTTCCTAGGATTTTATCAGGTCATTGGGAGCTGTTAGTAGTAGATGTGTACCTCTTATTTGGCATTTAGATGATCTGAGACCTTAAAGAGATTTTAGAGATGATCTAATTCAATCCCTTTATTTTACTTCTGAGAAAACTATTACTTGGAAGATCTGTATGGTTTGTCCAAGGATGGATATGCCTTTTATCCTTTTTTCAGAGGATATGTAGGATAGAACGGTAACCTCTGAATCTGTGTTATCTAATAATTCCTATGTCTCCTGCATAGTTTCTTCAGATTTAGAAAGAGACAAGATAAATAGCTTAAACATCAACATTGAGCACACTGTCTTGACACAGTTGACTCCAATGTATTTTATTGATTTCGAAAGAACAATAAATTTGTTTATTGAACAATTTGTTTTCTATTTCACTGATTTCTTGTCTTATATTATTTCCCTTTCTCTTTTACTTTGGGATTAACTTGCTCTTTTTCTAGTTTCTCAATATGCAAATTGAACTAATTGATTTGAGCCCTTTTTTAAGTGTTTACTCCTATATATCTACCCCAAATACTGCTTTATTCACATCCCATGAATGTTGATATATTGTATTTTCATTTAAATTCAATTAAAATTATTTTCTAATTTCATTTTTCATTTCACCTTTGACCCATAGGTTATTTTATAAGTATGCTATTTAGTTTGCAGTTACTTGGGGATTTTTCAGATCTCTTTTTGTTACTGATTTCAAATGTAATTCCGTGTGGTCAGAGAACATACCTTTATGACTTGTCCTTTAAAATGTATTCAGGCTTGTTTTATGGCCCAGAATGTGGTCTGTCTGTGAAGCATCCCATGTGCATTTGAGAAAAATGTATTCTGTATTCAGCAGTGTATTTTGTTGTTTGTTGTTGGGTATTCTGTTATGTCATAATGCTCCATAAATGTCAGTTAAGGCAGGTTGGTTGACAGTGTTCGAGTCTTCTGTATTCTTGCTGATTTTCTATTTGTTTTATCAATTAATTACTCAGAGAGGTATAACAATAATTGGATTTGTCTCTTTCTCCTAGTAGTTCTCTCAGCTTTTGCTTCATGTATTTTGCAGCTCCGTAATTAGATACATAAAATGTTTAGGATTGTTGTGTCCTCTTCATGAATTGACCCTTTATCATTATGAAGTGACTTTCTTATCCCTGGTGATATTGTTTGCTTTGAAATCTACTTTGGCAGATATTAACATGTCCACTAATCTTTCTTTTGATTA